CGCTGCTCCAACTGTCGCAATTGCCGAGTGAGCAAGGCACTGCCGTGCTGTACGAGAGGTCCGTATTCCACGTAGTCCACGGAGATTGGATTTTCTCCTTTCGTATAATTATTTTTTTCGTTTTTTTTTATTTTCATTTGCATTTAGTTTTTATATTTTATTGTTTTAAAAAGAAAAATATATTTTCTATATTTCATTTGATTTTCAGAAAATTTATTTCTTCTTTTCTTAATTAAATTTTTTCTTTATTTATTTTTCTTTAAAATTTTAGATTGTATTGTTTTAAAAATAAACAATTTTTGTTTTGTTATTTCCTTTAAAATTTAGCCACTAAGTTTGTATTCCTCTTTAAAACTATTTTTTTATTCCTTGGAAACATTTTATTTTCTTATTTTTATTTAAAAAAAAAATTAATTTAATTTTTTAATTTTTTTGATTTAAAAACTATTTTTTCTTTGTTTCATTTTATTTTTAGAAACATTTTTTCTTTTTCATTTAATTTTCATTTAAATTTTAGATTGTAATGTTTTAAAAAGAAACATTTTTTTTATTTGAAAGAGAAAAATATTTTTAATTTCATTTTATTTTTAGAGCAATTTTTTCCTCTGTTTCATTAAATTTTTTATTTTTTTATTTAATTTTAATTCAAAGTTTAGGTTGTTTTGTTCTAAAGAGAAAAAAAAATGTAATGTCATTTAAAATTTAGCACATTTAATTTTTTCTTGTTTTAAACTTATTTTTTTTTATTTTAGACATTTTATTTTCTTATTTTTATTTCTACAAAGGAAATTTTTAAATTTGATTTTTAGATTGTATTGTAAAAACAATTTTTTTATTTTATTTTTTAGAAACATTTTTTTTTCTTCTTTTGATTATTTTTTATATCTTTTTGTTTGTAATTTCATTTAATTTATTTTATTTAATTTTGTTCGCTCGCAATATAGTCTTTGTTTCATGAGCTGTGTGGCAGGTGCTGCCGTCCTATTGAAACCGCATATTGTCCAAGTCGATGCCATCTGATTCAGTCCATAAAAAGTTCGTTGTCATGTCACGATAACTTCCACCACTCACCGTTACTGCGTTATCGGCTTCATTTACAAACCATCACACCCCACAATGACAGGATGTTGTCAAATTTTGCTGACTCAGTTGACCGATTATGTGTACGCGTTGTTCAACTGAGTATCGCTTCATGACTAAGTTTTCTAAAGTCGGTAGTACCAATTATCTGAAAATAGCGTCAGTACCAGTTAATGATGACATTTGATGTGAATGCATATGTGCTCCAAATTCATCCCGAAAGTGCACTAAACTGACCCGAAAAAGTCCCGAACTATTCTCCAATTAGTCCCGAAATCATGCCGAAAAAATTCCAAACTAGACTCGAAAAAGTAGCACACTAGATAAAAAGAGGTCCACAACTAGTACCGAAATGATCCGGAACTAATCCCAACCAACCCCCCCGAGTCTTGGTTTATGACGGATGGTTTACGCAAATTTTGTCTACTCCGAAGCAAGGGGTACCAAGCGAAAAGTTTCAGTATTTTTTTTTTTAATTTCCGCCTTGCTTTCCATCAATGCACTACCGTAGTGCATATACCTAAAACTATGCAACGAAAAGACCCATGCACAGGGTGAAAAATTTGCAGGGTGCACACGATGATTTTCTCATTCCGTTATTCAAAAGATATTTTTGATGATGCATTTTCGAACGTTTTTTTGTAGTTTGCTTTAAATTTTAACAAAAGCAAAGATAAAAATTAAAAATTAACATAAACATCACAAATAAGTGCGGTGAAAGATCTGCATCACCCATGCATAAACCCTATACGAGTAATTCAGGCAAATATATTTGCACCCATAGGTGCAATAACATAAATATAGGGACGCTTCTGGGCATACAGCTACAGTTGCTCAGCTATGCTCATTTCCTTCTCTTGCGTCCACGGCGCCTGGACAACGTGAGCTACCCATGTGCGAGATGCATTAACCAACCCGGGTTGGAACTAGTTGATGAAAGAAAGAGACGAAGCTTCACTGGGGCCGCTGTCTATCGTGCGGCTCGTTTTGTTTTAAACGTATTCTCAACAAAAGTAACCCAAGTTGTGGTTACGCGCCACGTTTGGAACCAGCTCGGTAAAACACAGTATCATTAAGGAGGTCAATATTGCCTTGGGCAATACAAACTTCTTTTGATTAATCCCATTTTCACGACGGCCGTGGCGAATGTTTATAAACTATGGTTTAAGGATAAACACTTGGTATGTTCGTATCCTTCAAGGATTAGATGCTTCTGTCTGGTTGATGTACTCGGGTAGGGTAATGCGGATATCACCGTCATCGAAGAAATTCTATGGGCACGACAAAATGGATAAAGCATTCGTCCCCTTGACGTAACGGAACGCAACTTCGGTTTTGGATTCCTCATAGGATAGAGACTTCGCCGCCGAGTACTGTCGTTGACTCCAGGGGATGAGCGTTTACAGCAATCCGCATCAGAGCGATGTTCTTTAACATCTTGTTCATTTTCACCCACACCCCGGGTGAAGATAAATACGAGGCGTTCTACGAATGCTACCTACGTCACGATATCACGATCTTCTTCGACGATTGCAGTGCCAGGCTGAGTAGGAAGGGGATCTTTGGTTCCACCATCTGAAAATTCAGCCTCCACGATGAAACGTCTAATAACGGACTGAAGCTGAACGCCTTTAGCCTTCTACGTGACTGTCTCCTGGTCGAAAAACGGGAAGCCAAACCGATCATGTTGCGATAGACGGAAGACACGTTTTTAGTATTTTAGACGTTCGTACGATTCAAGGTCCAGCTTTTGAAATGCTGCGCGATGGATAGTGCAGCTACATATTTGCAGAAACTACAACGACTCCGCTTGTTTATGGTCTATTCTTACACTAAGTCACGAACATACATATGTATGTACGTACTTTCTCCTATGGTCATTTAAGCCCAATATTTGAGATTCCATCGAGGTCCTTTTTGTGCAAATTTCGTGCTACTGGGTACACAATCATTTTTCGTCGGAAATACCCATGTCTTTTAGAATACCGCATGTCTCTTGGAATACATCGTAATAAGTAGGTCGCTCTGCAGAAGCTAATATAATGGACCAAATTGGCGCTCTTCATCGCATTTAACTCTGCCTAAAAAAACGATACAGTGATGAGGTAGACAAATAAGTACAAGAGTGAACCGCCTACCTACTCCTAGAGCCGTTAAATTTGAAAGTAAACTACGAAATAAGGACCACGATTTACGGATATGTCCCTGGAATGTCAGGACCCTCTAAAGGAAAGATACTTCTATCCATCCCTGCAACCCAGGAAATACCAGGATCCACATCAAGGGAGGAACGAGACTAGAAGCAGAGCAGTTCTATGAGCGCTTGGAGAGAGAGAGATGATATCGACATCGTCGGCCTGAGAAACCGGGCAATAGTGCAGCATTTTCCAGTGGGGAACGAAGACAAGACAATTTACCTCATGGCAACACATAAAAAGTCTTAGCGTATTGGCACCCACGTCACTGTCGGCAGTTATAACTTTGAAGTAGTGAAGGACTTTGCCTAACTAGGATCCAGCACCTAACGCCACCAACAGTGTTTTAACCTTTAACCTCGGTAAGCAATTGAAAATCAGAGCCCTTACTCGACGAACAAAAATTATGCTCTACAAATCACTCATCATATCCGTCATTTTATATGGCGTAGAAACATGGACGATGTCGAACAAAAATGAAAAGGTTGGGCTTGTTCAAGGCTCCTTATAAAAGCGTCAATACTGCAGCAGTAATGACTGTTCACCTTTGGCTGATGAAGTTGAACGAATAACAAACGCGTTCAGGTAAATTTTCTTTTAGAATATTTATTTCTTTTTTCCAACTGTTTCTGCAGCTCATTTAAACTGAAGTCATTGTTGCTGGTACTTCAAAGTTCTATTATGATTAACTTTAATTAAAGTTGCTATTCATATATGTATCTATATGTAATCGAAACAGTCCGCCATCTACAATTAACACGAGATAATGTTGGCGCCATTTTAGCTACATAGATATTAGCAACTACACCATCGCCATACCATTTTCATCTTCGCTTTTATTATACGACTTTTTGCTAAATATTTAAACACGTTTTTGTTTATAATTATTATTATTATTATAATACATATGTTTATGAATTTTCATATACACCTTATGATTCATTTAATATTCATTTCCTCGGAATTTTTCTTTCTTTATTATGTATTCTTGTTTCATACATACAACATAATAATAGTAAATTTATTTATGTATAATTGGAAAATATTTTATTCGTAATTATATTTTCGATTAAAAAATAATTTTTTTTTTTTTAATAAATTTTATATGCATACATATACATACATATTTAAAATAATAATAATTATAGTAGTTTATTAATAAGTGTGAAATGAGAAATTTATAACTCAATTACTTTATTTATTATAAACAGCATACTTTCGTCCTCATCAACATCATCATCATCATCGTCATCATTATGATCATCATCACACCTTATAAACGTTGCGTTCTAATAGTAAATGTTCTTGTGAATATACACACTAACCGAAAGTGAATTTCAATTTGGAATTGCTAATAAGAGATTTGCTTGACACATTGATAAATTGACTTAGCCAAAAAACTAACGAAAAACAAAAATTTACACCGACCGAGCGACGCAGCGACGAGACGAGCCAAACAACCAACTAAATGCCTGCAACAAGCATGTTTGTATGTATGTACATGTTTATGGTGAACAGTTGAGCCCATAGAAACAATCACTGCAATTTCAGACGGTCACATCGCAAATTAATATTATATGTATGCTTGGAATTTCTATTGTTGTGGCGAATGCGATCTCAGCGCAAAATTCCAACAACCTTTGTAATTGTCATTACTCATTAAACTACACAATGCAATGCATATTTTAAATGTGTATTTTTGTATTTTATTGTTTACTATTTTATTTTTGAAAAAGTTTACGTTTGAACTTTCATTTAGTATAGATTATTAATTTGTTTACTGAATTTGCGGATTTTACTTTTTTGTGTTCTCTTTTTCGAGGAGTGAACAAACGCAAACGTAAAATGTTGATGTGGATGCGGGAGCAAAGTGAAATCTGGGCGTGTTAACAGAATATATATTTAGGCAGCTGTATTAGAAAGTAGTAGTACATTGCTGCTCGAGTATTGCTGTTGATTTTGGTGACGAGGGAGCTGAAAAGGGAGCGTTTGTTTGTTTTTACTTTCTTTCTGTTCTCGATTTTTAATGTGACTTTATTTTAATCTATTTTCATAGCATTACCATCATTATCATAATTTTTCATAATTTAAATTTTATATTTTATATTATTATTGGTTGCTTTCCCACTCAACATCATCATCATCATCATCATTATCATCCGTATTTTTGTTTCTGCTTTCTATTTCTGGTTTTTAAATTGTAATTTAAATATTTATTTTTTTATTTATAATTATCAGCATAATTTTTTCAAATCTCTCGTTGGAAATTTCATTTTCTGTAAATGAGGTAATAGGAAATTGTTTAATGTGATGCAAAATACGAAAATGTGGGGGAAAAATATAAAAGTTAATATGCACTCACCTACAAAAGGACATCACTTGCAGCAATTGTTTGTTTGTCGGGTATTTTCATTATCATTCAGCCTTCTACCAGCGGGAGCGCCTTGATTATTTGCTCCGTCGTTTTTAGGTAATTTCTTAGCTGTTAGCGGGTATGGAAAAAAAGAATAATTTATAGTGCAAGTTTACAAGCACTAAAATAAAATACTAATTATATCACCCACAAAAAATGTAACATTGGACGATAGAAACAAAAAAAAAAAAACGAAGTTTCAAATTCTTAGCAATAGCTTCGGACCTAAAATCTATACGAATAGCGTAGTATCGCTCTCCGGACTAAAGAATATCGGGTCATTTTATTGCACCAAATAATCATTCATTAATAAATAAATAAATACAATTTTTAATAAATAACTGCCCACTGAATATAATGAGACCCTTAAATTTTAATTTGTTCAACTTCCCAATATTTGGAAGACTTAGTCAAAACTCAAAAATTATTATTCACCGCTTTTAGAAAGTTCACCTCCAAATTTAAGTGAAAAAGTTGTCGGACAAGAAAATTAATTCTGCGAAAAATTGGTACGTGTTTCAAGTTTTCCAGTTTGTCGACTTTAAGGGAATCCTTTCACTATGTAATCCACTTCAATCCCTATTGTTATCAACCCTCTTGACTATAACTTACCAATTGCTAAAAAGATATCATTAACATTCATTCCCGTTTTTGCCGATGTTTCCATGAAGAGTAATCCGTTCTCTTCGGCATATTGCTTTGCTTCTTCGTATTCTACAACACGAATATTTGATAAATCCGCTTTATTGCCAGCCAGGGCAATAACGATATTCGGCGATGCCTAAAAATGAAAGTAGAAAGAGATTATTTAGTGAATTTTAAATAAGAATTTTTGGGAACTTTGTCTTTATATTTGGATTCCTTAGGGAGTAAAAGAAATTTATTCGACTATTCGTGTACATATATTGCTGAAATGATCCCTTTGAAAAAGAGAGGTGTCCACAGCAACCTTATGGTCTCTATTTTGCGTTCCACTCATCACAACACCTCATTCAGTCTTACAATCTCCAGAAAGTCTAGAAGAACTTTCGGGGGCAGGGAGAGTATGCGCTTATCCTCTGGCCACATTGAATTCCGACTTTTTCCCCGTCTTCTCGCCACTGCCATACACTCAAGAAATAGGTACAACGGTGTCCCCTTAGCCGAATCGCATAAGTGACAGAGGTTATGACCAGATGCCTAACTTGTGCAGATCTCATCCTAATCTGCAATGCCCGTGACAATCCTCAGATTTTCATTAAGTAGGTTAATGAGGAATCTCTGTACCGCTACATAGTGCTTGCCTGTGTGTGTCCCTCCAAAATAGTCATTCCAAGTTGTTATCCTGCCCTCTGAAAATCAACTAACTTGCTAACCGAAATTAGGGAAAAGTGAGTTATCTCCGCACATTGGTAGTCAAGTCACTAAATTGATTTCTTCGTGTGGCGACAGAGGAAGCTTGGCTAGCTCCATATGTATATCTGTCCAAGGACTTTCAATTCAGCAGTTTTCCCTAGAAACTCTTTAGGTAATTTTCGGCTGTTAAACACTTAGGCCCATGAAATTCCCCATAACGTTGTTGCTACGTTTGTCAGAATTTCGGGGTGGTAAGTCTCTATAACATAAAATTATGTATCCGCCAGTGGTAGAAAAGGAGGAACAAGTACCCTTTGTATTGGAAATATCAAGTAGAAAAGGATTTAACTTCACTTCCAGATGAGACTACTTGCGAGAATATACATACATACATATTTTTTTTTGTTAACCTAAGTATTCCATCAGCGTAAACATTCTATTGAGTCATATGAAGTCTCCGCTGAGTTATGGGTACATTTAAGAAACACATTTACTTTATTGGAAATCATTTTTAACCAAGCACGCCATTATTATCTATGACCTTTTGCCATTTTTCGAGTAGCTTCATAATTCCATCGGTCTGGAAATGCTGTGGTTTATCGGCGAAAAACTTGGCCAAATGATTTTCTGCGGTTCTTCGGTCGCACAGTTTTTTTCAATAAGAGTTTTGCGGAGAACGAAACAAATGGAAATCAAGTGGTCCAAAGTACGAGCTATAACGATGGATGCATTAAACCTCTCCAAGCAAATTCCGTTAATTTATTCCGAGCCAGGCATGTGGCTCGGCATTGCCATAATAGAACACAAATCCTTTTATGTTGGCCAATTCTGTTCGCTCTTTCTTGATTGCTTCATTCAAACTTTGCACAGTAGAGAACCGAATTGATTGTTTCGCGACGTTGTAGCAGTTCATAATGGACAATTACCGTCCAATTCCACCAAAGACTCGAAAAAAACCAAGCTTTTAAGTTGTTTGTGTATCTTTGACCATGTGGATTGTGTTTCTTATTCTCGTATTCAATCCATTTTTTCATCGCCTGTAGGTAATGATTTGCTTCAAAAATTGTTCGGCTTCGTTCGGTTTCACTGTTGGTAATTCGGCAATAATGTTTTTTTTTTCATTTTAAAAATGGTCTTATGGTTGATATTTAGTGCATTCGTCATGCAGCTTTATTTCATCGACTTTTCCAGTGACTGGTCGACCAGAGCGAGGTGCATCTTTGACATCAAAATTTTCGCAATGGAATCGGGCAAACCACTCGTGATTCTGGAGTTCCCTCACAGCATTCTCACCAGACACTTGACACATTTGTCGGCATGTTTTTGGACCGTTTTCACTTTTTTATCCGCAAAGACTATTCATATGACCCAAACTGTAATATTCCTAGCTTTTAATCAATTAATTTAATTGGATATTAATTTTGTTCTACAAAGCAAACCATGAAGAAGTAATCCACACTTTGACTGCCAGATCAAATCGTTAGCAGTACAATGTTCGAACAACAACAATGATTACAAGAGTGTCATTTGTTTTTGTGCAATCCATTCAAAGAAGCGCTCGAATTTGCGGTCAATAACCGCTGTCAATGTACCTAATTATATGAATATGTGCATGCAATTTTAAAAATAAAAAAGCCGCAATTATTTTATATCATATTTTGCACACGATGTAATATAAATATATATATATACATCAATATATCTACATACACAATAACGCCAACAAACAATTACTCGTATTTGGTTGAAGGTTTATTCAATTTATTCACCTGTTTATGCAGTTCCTTGACCCAGGTCTTTGCACGCTGAAAACTGTCTTGATTTTGTATATCGTACACTACAATGGCAGCCTGTGCACCACGGTAGTACATAGGAGCTAAGCTGTGGTATCTATAAAATTGGACAAATCATACACATACATATTAAAAAGCGACAAATGCATTACAGCACACTTGCGTCTCACCGTTCTTGTCCGGCTGTATCCCATATTTCAAATTTGACCACCGTATCCTCTATGCAGATGGTTTGTGTTAGAAAAGCAGCGCCTATCGTACTCTCTTGGTATTCATGGAATTGTCCCTTGACGAAACGTAGCACAAGCGACGACTTGCCCACCGCTGATTCGCCCAATAGCACCAATTTGAATTGGCAATTCTTATTTTGCTGTGTACCGTTGGGACGCTGAGCTGTACTGCCGCTGGCATTGCCCCCGCTACGAGCAGTTGTTGCCATCTTGGTGTTGGTGTTGTTTTTGTAGTGGTGGTATTTGAATGATTTTTTTCTCGTTTGCTTGAAAACGGATTTCTATTCTGTTCTGCGCTACCTTCCCACGCTGCTGCAGTTACAAATGATCGGTGTTTAACTTTATAACTTGCGCCTAAAAAGTTTTGTTGGTGATGTTGTTGTTCGGTGTTATGAAATATGTATGCATGTATTTTTTTAATAACTATTAGTTTGTTCGATTGTTGCGAATGTTGGTCGAATTTTGTTTTTGTGGAGCTAAATTTACAGCTGCAGTGCGCGTTCAAACCTTCACGCAAAAGGGGACGGCCGATGTTGTCAGATGTGGTCTGATTTTCTTACTGAAAAGAAATAAAAAAGGAGAATGTTGATGTGAGTGTATTGTATTATTTATTAACTAGTTTTTAATTAAATTCGGAGCCAAATATCAGCTTTTTCCTAAACTTTTACTAAAACTAGGAAGAAATTGTTTATAATTTTTTTGCGTGAGCTGACGAGGATAGGTATTGTCTGTTGGCGACCATGGTAGTTCTTAGAGGTTACCCGGAGCATCGAGGACGAGAACTGGCCCGTTGATTTTGAGGACTTAACGGGTTGCTCCGGCGCCATGTGGCATTGACAGACCTGCCGATTGCTTCACATATAGAGCGAGCGGAGTACCTCAATGTTTTCTAAAATACTGCTAGCAAGCCAATAGGGGATCTTGTATCGGATTCTGAGTTTAGTTAGAGAGCCAAAAACAATTTACAAAGTTAGAACAATCCAGATTTACCTATAACCCTATAAGAATTCAAAGTATCTTTAGATGTAGTAGATATGTAAGTGTTGAAATGGTAATACTTATAATATTTTATCTTTAAATATTGCTTAAGCCTTTGAACCCGCCGTTTTTTTTTTTTTTGTATTTCATACATATAAATGTTACTGTACCATACTTTAGAATTAAACGCGCACAAAAAGCTTGCGTCACCATTTAAATTAGCCAGTGAATCATGAGAATGTAACTGAATATTAAATTAATATTAATAAGTTGTCAGTGGCTATCAAAAGCAAATATTTAAGCATTTTGTAAATATTTCAAATTTTGTGCGTAAACAAAAGAATTGGTTAATTTTCCTTGGTGCTGATAAGATATCAAAAGTAAAACAACGCATATACGCCTATAAATGCATAATTCCGACCAGGCAGCAAAAAAGCTAACACAAAAGAAAAAGAGCAACTAAAAAATTGGAAAATGGGAAATAGGAATTGCTACGCTATTTGGTCATAGTGAGTAGCAGCAACAAGTATAAAATAACTAAAAAAAAAAAAAACAAGCTTAAAAAATTATACAAATGCATATTTAACTGAAATTGAGAGAACGCTGCAGGCGAGCAAGTCAAGCAAAAGAGAAAAGCAGACACAACTGAAACAAAACGCTTCTTGGTACGCAATCATCTTTCTTGTTAAAAAAAAAAAAACGAGTAAAATTAACAGCGACACTTCACTTCCGCCAGCACTCATGCTTATGCACAACAATGCGGCAATCAGATATAGTCATAAACATACAAACATAAATACATACATGTATGTATGTATGTATACATATGTATTACCATTCACATTTAATAATGCGAGGCAGTAGTGGGTCGCCCGATTTTAGTGGAGTTCAACAGTTGGCGCTCGTCAATAGCCGGTTAATCACAACATTGCGTCCCACTTTGCCCAAATGAATTACTTTTGCGGCACGCTGCATCCGTTTGTATAACTATGTACATAAGCAGAAGCGCAAGCGTCAGTAGCTGTCTAGCGACAAGTATTTTGTATTTGTATTTCTGTTGAAATTTCTTTTCTTCACTTGCATTTCCCCAACTGACGTCTAGTCGGTCTACCTTCACTCAATTTTACCAGCCCCTTGTTGCTCGCGCGTTATTAGTACGGCTTCCACAAGCTGTCGTCGATAATGACTGCGACGCTGCGGCGCTCGTTGATTGAACTATGTTCTTATGACTGTCGCTTACTCTTACTAGACATGGATACTCCCTTGCCTCTTTTCAATTACTTATTTTACTTATTTTCCTCTCGATGATTGCGATAATAATAATCACAGAGGCCACTGCTGACATTGACAAATGCCAGAACAAGCGAATGCATCGAATATGGTGACGAGGCGTTATTGACGATTTCGACGATAGGAAATCATGAATGGAAAAAGAGGCAGTTAGTTAAAGTCTGTACAGAAAATTAATAACGTAGGAATCAATCTAAGTAGTTTACGTTTGCTCTTTGGGGTACTTCTTGCCGCGTTATACCTTATATCCGATGTATCCGACTGGCTGCCAACAGGCAATAAATGATTTTCTACGTAATCTGTCCATACCCTAATTAGCTCTCCCCAATGATTGCGGACATAGGAATTTAATGATCATCTATTTCAAAATAGCTAAATCTGCGAAGGAAACCCGACCAGTACCTCCTCAGCTTCGTTCTGTATACTGTGATAGCACAGTGGGGGGCTATATATCCAGAGTATATGTATGTCCTGCATGTGGAAAAAAGACTCCCGACACAAACTTTACTTAATAAGCCGACTTAAACTCACTCATCTAAAATCCCTCTAACTTTGGTCAGATCCTGACCAGAGAGTATTTCCTAGGGCTAGATGACTTTTATTTACGTTCATATGGCAGAGCGGTCTCCAAAACCGGAACGACCCACATATATTTCTGGCCAAGGACTGTTATTCTAGAACTTTCCCCAATTTCTTTGGAAATGTTTATGTTGTTACAACAACAATAACTTTTTGGCACCATTCCCAGTTTGGCCCAAGATGGTGCTAAACGAGCCACGCTAACTCCAGTTGTATTCTTCCCCTCGATGATTTATAATAAGCAACAAGCTGTCGAATGAAATTCTTGGCTCGTTTAAACTTGAATGAATTTCACTCAGGAATTTTAAACTGTCGGAAGAATGTTTTACCCAACGGCTAAAACAAGTCGTTGAAGCTATAGTAATTTCGAAAATGAAAAACGCGCTATTATTGTGTAATCCGCTTATTTAGATAATCTCACATTTTGGCGTTATTTAACAACGTCACGTCTCGCCGCCAGCTGGAATTCATAGCTGCAATTAAGTGCAAATAGCGACACCGCATGGATATGATGATATATTCACATAAACACAATAACAATTAAACCGTTGTGGTGAGTGGGAAATATGGAAAGAAAAGTAATAAAGAAATATATAGTACGTTTATACGGACAGAATAGTCGACTTAATTGAAAGCGCATTGACACCGTACACATTTCGCTCTAGTGTTTATACCTACGGCTTTATATCGGCATCAAAGTAACCATCTTCAAAAGCAAACAAAATAAGCTGTTTTAATTTGACATGTTAACTTACATAATGGAAAGTGATAAAAATCTAATTTTATTCGGCATTATAAAATCGTGGCAAAGAAAAAGAACGATTATTATTAATCAGCCATTAAATACTGATGCGATTATTTGGAATTTGAGCGGAACAGCTGACCTCCACTTCGCTTTGAGTGAGAGCGGTGTTTATACACTCTTTCTAACTGTCTGGAGAAATAAACTACCGATTTGAAATGGATTGTGAGCCAAAACACTTCGCTCTTTCAAAGCGAATTGAAATTCAGTTTATACATATGTTTTGAATCGCGGCGAAATCAATTAAAGCGACTTATGCATGCGTATAAACGTAGTAATAAACGAGTCCAAGTGCACGTCTCAAGCCGACTGAGAGTGCTACTACCGACTAGAAATACATCACCAGTGCATAAGTTTGAGCGAGAGTGGCGACAATTTGTCCACAAACCAGCACCGCTACGAAAACATTGCTTTTGCCGCAAACTTAATTAAACAATAACTCAATAGAAACCAAAGGAAAAACAATGAAGACGCTAAGAAACATATGTATGTAGAAAACAAACCATCAAAGCAATGAAAAATTAATGGTAGCGAATATGTATTGCAAAACAAAAAAGCAAGCCACAGTAGAGGTGTTCTAATTTATTTAAAAAACAATGGAGAACAAATCAAGTTTGTCGATCAACAAATGATTATGAATAAATGAACATATTCGCAAACGCTAATGAATCGTAAAATGTAGTATAATTTATATGCATATGTATGTACATGTTTATAGGAACAATGTACGTCAAGAAATGCGGGCGTTAAATATGTAAACTTAGAAGTTATAATAAACAAATGCCTTGGCATTGAAGGGAACAAAGGTAATAGTGTACCTATTTTATTATTTAAAATACTCCATAACAATGAGTGTATGTGTTGAGTGCCTAATCGGGCACCTTGGAGTGTAAAAAATATAAGTAGTACTTATTAAGTACATATCGCTTGAGTGAAAGTTGCTAAGTCTCATTTTAAAAATTTTACAGGAGGAAAAAAACTTCATAAAGCCATTTTTTCAAGTATTTATTTTACTTTGAATACAACATTTTGCGTGTTTAAAACGAAGCAAAGCTCCAGCCAGTTTCTCCAGCCTGCTGTATCAAAATATGAGTTTTCATAAAAAGTTGATTTAAAAACTGTTCACTCTAAGCTAGCGATATGTATGTATATGCATGTATGTCAAGATTATTTTAATTTAAAAACCCATGCATTAGAATAATTGTCCGCAGTAAAATTTGAGTGACAAATGATTGCGAAAAAATACATTTTATGAGCCTTATCATTTTTTTTTTTAATTTTTAAATGAGTTATTATACAGTTGCACAAGCCTACAAGTAGCGAAATAAGTGTAATAAAAAAGAAAATGATAAATATTATTGGGCCATTTAGCAAGATTGTATACGACTTAGATTAAAAAAAAAAATAATAATTTGAGGGGAAGTCGGAAGAGCAGTTTTCTCAGCCGAACTGAGGCTTGAGACAGTTTCCGATACAACGAGCAGCGCATTGTTTATCTAGCGGTAGTGTTGGTCGCCCAGCATTACTCAAGCGCCTAGTAACAGCAATCAAGTGACAGTCCTTGGCCAGATGCATAGGCCTGACTCTCATGAAAACAAGAATCATGTTGTTGTTGTTGTAGCAGAATACAAGCTCCCCAAAGAGTTTTTGGGGAGTGTTGCTGGAGTGACAGTCCTTGGCCAAATATAAATCTGGGTCGTTCCGGTTACGTAGACCCGACTGTCGCGGGAACGAACAAGAATCATGTCTTCAACTTCTCTGACTTTTAGGCAGCCTCTAAAGCATTATACTCATATATTAACATCGTAAAGTGCCTTCAGAGTGCCGCAGATGGTTGAACGAGATATAATCTCCAAAAAGTCATGCTAAGGTCCGTTTTCTCAAGTAACCTGTAACTTTAAAGCTCACTTTATATTTAAAGGTTGTATTAAAATTTATGATTGTGTCTAAAGTAAAGCATTTTATTATCGGTTCTAAATTTGTTTACAACGAAGAAACATACATACGTCAAAAGCCGATAATAGAAATGCTTAACTTTGGACATACGTCGGTTAAAGTACAGAACAGCGTATCGTCATTCTGCAAAACCGCGAAACTGGCATTTGCTGCCGAAAATTGGATTTGCTCACACAAGCTCTTGACTCAATCTTTATCCATTCGTCCTGAAATATACTAGACAAAAATGCGATTGCTTTATAAAAAAAAAGAACCATTTTGAAATATGAGTGTTTTTACTCTCTAGAAAATAATTTAAGCAAACTCACATGCGCGGTTGTGTATTAATTATCTTGATACGCGGTTTAGCAGTTTGCTGATAAACGGTTTTGTACTTTAAACGACGCATCTTTATTTGTGAATCAACCTTTAAATACAAAGTTAGCTTTAAAGTTAAACGTTATTTCAGAAACTATCAATGCAAATCCTTTTAAATGGGCTCGCCTTGTTAGATAATTATAGAAACATCTTTGAATTAATAGCCTAACAACAACAACATTTCTCAGTAGATAATCAATACTCCACTCAAGAGCAAATGCAATACCAATTTCTCAAAGAAAAACAATACATACATACATATGTATATATTTGCATGTTTCGCAGCAAAAATATAAGCGCTATCGAACGCTATTGTTACTTGGAAGATCATGTGATGCGCACAAACAACACCGGATAGAGTTGTATACACAGAGCGATAAAATCATGTCAAGCACCTTGAAGAATAAACAAAAAGCCAGTTAGTTTAAATGTGTAAAATGAAGATAGAAACTGGAATTATGAAACCAAACACGTCATCATAGAATGAGTACCAAATTTCTGGGAGCTACTGAAACCAAACCAATGCAGGAACTGGAAGTGCGATGTTGTACCTAGCCAAAATAGATTTTTCTCACTGATAAGAAATTCAAAAAGGTAAAATTTATAGAGGGGAAAATTACATTGCAATACTACCAGTAATCGTAAAAAGATAGGCGAGTTTGTATGTAAATAAACACATTGAACTCATATCGTTTAAAACGAGTGGAATATCAACCACCAAACTTACGCTTAGTACTTTTTAGTAAATGCACTACACAGCCGGAAAAGTATTAACGCAAGAAAATGAAAAATTCAATAACACACAACACATCTGAAATTTATTAAAGTAAAACAGCTGACGGCGAACGATGTACGATGTGTCACCAAACAAAATTTGATATAGAGAAGCACGAGAGAAAGCAAACTGACGAAGAACATCGTGAAACGTCAACAAGTGCAGGATTTGACAATTTTCCCCTAGTTTTCCACGTCCTTTTGATAAGTTTATTTTACCTCTGGTGATAAACATGATGCATATATGTATGTAAGTATGTACATATGCTAAAAGGGGAGCTGGAAAAACACTAGAGAATAATTAAGCTAGTCATTTGCAATAAAAATAGTAGAGAAATTTGTCGGAATCAAACTTCCTAGATATAATGCGTGACGAAGTAATATAATAGGACAAAATGCGTAAATATTTTGCTGATATAATTGTGGGCGTTAACAATTCAACGCTAACTTCTCTTGAACTGAGAATTTCAGAGAATACTCAATTGCCGTTTATCAAAGTAAAAACCTACATAATTCAAGTATGCAATTTTTTTTCAAGATATCCAAAAAGCAGCAATATAGAAACCTATTCAATGTCACTGCGTAGGAAAACGTTTACATATTTGTTAAATCTTCCAGTGTTTTTCGCACTCTGTTGCTGAGTGCCCCCTCGCCCCGCCTATCAGTGACCACATCAGCGTTCATTTAGCTGTGGGGCGGATTAACATAGCCCTAATTCAAGCACATTTACATACATAGGTACGTAAATATCTAACATTCACTGGCAAAAAAGAAAATCAGTAACACAAAAAGTTACACACGCAACTGTGGCGAAGGATAACATAAGCAAAAACAGGCCATAAGATCTCCTCTAATCCTGACGCAAGATGAATGCAACTTCAAACCTATATAATTCGTTGAATTGATATTCTCTTTGTTCGCAAAGCACTTGCAATTTAAATTGCAACAAATTGCGACGTTAGTACCAGTTCCAGTACTACAAAGTCGTAAATTTAATTAAACAAAAGCCAAGCAAACACAGCAGTCGCACTGACGACGTCGCGTTAATCTCGACCTCGGCACAAGCGCTTAAAATAGGCCAAAATCGACAGTAAAGCACAAATTTATCCACTTATTCGATCGCGTGCACATTCACTTCGATTTACACTCACTTTTTCGTCCAAAAATTTCAGGAAAAACTACAATTATTTAGCATTAACTGCGATTTTACGTTTTTTACAGATTTTGCGAACATCAATTTGAGAAAATGCACTTTCTTAATACACACTGACACTTGGCAGCACTGTTTGAGCAGCGCAAAACAAATGTCACCCACCCAATACGACCAGCCATCTTGCTCTAACACATGCCAGCGCCGCTTGCACCCACATTGTTTTCGTCATATGCAAAACAATATTTTACTCACTCCCACACTTGCATTAGTGTGCGTGTGCTGTCAGTGTAGCAAATTTTTCACGGTGCTAAATGTACTGATTACCCCGCTAATGCCTTTTCCTCTTCTAACATCCATAAACACCACCATCATTGTGATGACTCGTACAACGTTCACCCCGAGACTTTATGGAAAAATCCAAAATTTACGCTTCTCCAAGAGCTAATCTTTTTCTTTGCTAATTGTTTGGCTCTAAACACTTTATTGAAATTGCATTCACCTTTACAAAAATAATCCTAAACTTATATTGTTCAACAATGGGCTTTCAAAGCCAAGTTCTTTTCAGTAATTTTCGCTCGGACCGCACTTTTATTTAGTGATATTTTTTATGAAAACGGCACTTTCTCGCACAAATTAAAAATCGCACAATACGTGTTATATTGTGATGGCAATTGGCAGTTCATCGAGCGATAACGATTACTGTCAGAAACTCACTTATCAAGTAGTGGGTTTGGTAGCGGTTGAATATGCTAAATTGCAATTGGCAACTATTGAACACACGACAAACGTTTAAACTATTTGATGCAAAATTATGAATTCTATTTCTTAAGTGGCGTAAACTTGCTGTACCATTCATTATTAACTGCGATTATTTTTCTATTATCACTAGCGCGCTTGCGACGTCTGGCGGTTATAAAGAGCGGTAAATTTCGCAACAGCGACACCTACACGCACAATGGTCGAACTCGAACTTTTGCTACAGGTTTGGCGCAAATACCGACAGGAAATCGTGGTTGGTGACGCTACTTAAAAAACTCTTGACATTTAATTTGGCAGCATTGCTAAAATTCACCCGGAAGTGTAAAAGGCGGGCTGTTAGCATAATAAATAATAGTGGTCCTCATAAAAAGTGATAAACTGCTGATAAACTTGTTAAATGAACTGTCGAACATTGCATGGAAATCAATTTAACCAAAGTTTATGACTTTATCAAACGATTTTGGTGGATAAATGCATAAATTTCAACTAAATTCCACCTTGACAGGCGCACAATGTAAGAGGTAAGAATGAAACATAACTAGCCATATAAGTTAAGTAATAAACAATTATTTGCGGGATAAACTGATAAATTTAAGCAATTTACCCCTTCATCAATTTAGATGAGGACTTCTAATAAAAATAATATTTTTATCATGGTCGGTAGAAAGTTGTTGTTGTTGTAGCAGCAGAACTCAATCCCCAAATGGATTTGTCAGATGGTGCGCTCTTTATTCTCTGCCTTGGCAAACCTAAGGACATGGATGCAGGCATCGTCCATAGAGCTTCCTATGTAAGGGTGTATGCCGCATGTGATGAGGTGTCGGATGTTGTCTTTTTCCCCCCGACAGCTTCTGGCTTTCGTCATGGAGGTGCAAGATCGGATGGCATGGTGGCAGTATGTTTCTGTAATTAGAGGTTCTTTGTCGGCTCGACGACTTTGTTCCTCACACGTAATTTATTACAAGCGGGGAAGGATGTGCTGAGAAAATAGGGGATCGAACGCGATTTCTAGGTAGATTTGCTCCACCAATGTCGAATTCCAACTTAATAACCTTGTTCCACGTGGTGAAAAGTGTGGCGGTTGATTTTGCGGCAGAGATGTCAAGGTTTCTGGCAGTGAAGAAGTCTAAAAGATCAAAGAGATAGCCAGTGATGGATGGTTTTGACCTTCATTGCTGTGCGTTTACGGAAATCCACGCTGGCGTTTGGCTAATGTGAGATGCTTAGTAAGGCTAGGCAGGAGAAGCGCTTCTATGGTTTTTGCCTCTGGGTATAGGAGGGGGATGGGGATGGGAAGAGGCTTTACTGATTAGTGCAATACTCATATCAATGGAAAATGCAGAGCAGAAGATGTTAGTATATACACCCAACCACAGTCAGAATCTATATATATCTATATATATAATACGCGAGGGGATTTTTTGTTCAGGGCATGAATCACGTAACTTTGAAACGATTGTCGTTCAAACGATACTGACAAAACGACGTCCTTAAAACGCTAATTTGTGCATTTCTGTTACTGTTACTGTTTCAAATTAAAGCGCTTGGTTTGTAGATGTGCAAACTGCTTTTAGTTTTTCGAAAAGAGGTGCAACCTGTTGAAAAATTAAGTTCAAATTATATAATATAAAAGCCTTGGACTGTAGATGTGCAATAAGGTTTTACTTTTTTGAAAAGAGTTGCCACCTTTTAAAAAATTATATTTAAATTATTTAAAAAAATAAATCAATTATTACAAATATGGCATCAATCGAAATGGTTTTGAAAAACTTTGTTTCCTAGCTGAACTATGGGAGGGTTGCCACCTGTTTAAAAACTCATATTAGGTAAGAGAAATATGTATCAGCATATGGGTGCCAAACTAAAGGGGTTTCAGAAAGTAGTATTTTGGAAATATTTTGAAGAGGGTTGCCACCTGCTTGAAATGTTGAATTTAGTTTACTTATACACAAGTTATACGAAATATCAAAATATGGATGTTAAGCAAAAGAGTGTTAAAAATTCTTTAGTTTGAGCGCTAAGAATATTTATGAGGTATTGGAAGAGGGTTGCTACCTATTTAAAAAAGTTAAATTCAACTTATTTTATTAGTTAAATGAATTATTAAAATATGGATACAATAGAAGGGAGTTTGAAATTTTTTTTCTGAACTGTATTTAGCGGGGTTGCCACGTATTTGAAAATTAAAATTTCACTTAATTCATCAGTGAATTAAAATATGTACCGCAGTGTCCGGCGAAGGAGGGTTAACAACGATTAAGCTGAACAAATTTTTGGAGAGGGCTGCCGCCTGTTTGAATGTTCAATATAATAAAGTTTTATTTTTTTAATTAAGAACTTTTTTCATCGGAATAGTGATTTGAAATTCGATGAAAACAAAAGCATGCACTGTGCCAGACTGCTCTTCACTGAGAAACGGTTTCACGATTTTGATAAAATATGGCACACGGATCTCTTATAGCTCTGTCTAACATCTGGAATATTTTATAAGTTCGTGAAATTCAAATTTGGGCGTTTTAAAGCAGAACAAAATGTGTATACGTATAGGACGTTTGAATGTGTTTGTAACTTTTTCGCATGGAATTTGCGTACCCAGCAACGAATGGAATGCATCCCGCATCGATGCCTCAAAAGTGACAAATTTTCTCCTTCTGCCTGGAAACCGCCTGGAAAATATATAGAAACATCCTGTCAAAATGTTTGACAGGGTGTTTAAAGTGATATAGAAAAAGACTAAAGATATTAAAAAAAAAACTTAAAAATTGACAAAATATGCATTGAATTAAATGAATTACCGAAGATTTTGTGACCGGAAAATTTTATTACCAAAAAATGTTACCACTTCTTGTCACCGCGATTCTAGGTACATTGGTAATGCAGTGAAAATATTCAGCAATTCGGCTATAAAGATTTGTGGAAATTCCTGTATTGCATATTTCACGGGGCAATATTTTGATACTAGCTTATGAGATGGTAACCAAATTTACCGGTTACAAGAGAGTACAGAATGCAAAAAAGGTTTAAAAATTGACATACACTTTAATTACCGATTAAAAAATTTATGCTACCAGCGCAGAATAGACCTGTTAATAGAACTTTTCATGCTGATTTTGTCAGAGTCTGCTTAAAATTTTTTTCATATTTTTCATACATATTAAGTGTAACCCTGTAGCACATAGAATCATCTAATTCTTTTTTACTTGTAATGCAGCAGAAGGGCCACTTTAATGCGGGGTAGAAGCTGGAACAACTTTTTTGAGAAACTTTACCTCACCGCACTGCCTATCTTGCCTACAAACAGAGTTGTTCGGCTAACAGAAATTTTCCAGTGTGAAACCGACCAATGAGTCTTCAGTAGAAATATATTTTTCAATCACTCCAAAGCATTAAGATATAGAAAACAAAACGTTATAATGATTAATAAGTTAATACGGTTAAAACTGGATGAATGGTATTTTTTTTTTTAATTATTACAAGTGTATCTGCTTTAAAGTTATTATTATATACTACGGGTGTTCATCTGAGGTCGCAAACTGCCGATAAACGTGATCAAATTATAAATGTGTATAGAGTAAATAATTTTATCACGTTTATCGGCAGTTTATCACGTTACATGAATATCTCTACACTCAACAGGTATAAACAACCACAAACTAAATTTTTTTTTAATTATTTGTTTTATTACAATATCGTTCATGCATTAACCAAAAGTGCGATATTTTTTTTAATATTTAGTTTTGGTCGAGGCATGGATATTTTTATAAGAGAATAAAATAAAAAATTAGCTTGAAAACATTGCAAATATTAAAATAAAAAACAACACTCATCCTGTTTTGACCGCCAGTATAGGACGATCGGTTTGCTTTAAGCGGCTCAGAAGAATATTCCTGTCACCATCATACATAGCCATTCCGGGGGCGCAATACACAGACCTACTGGTCGCAATGCTTTATTCAACTATCTATGTATCTATCTACGTACCTAGCCAGTCCATACTATCGAAATTACGATCACAATTACCATTACTATTACCATTAACATTGTCTTTGTCATTACCTTAACTAATACTTTTACCATTCGCATTACCATAACCAATACTATTACCGATACCATTACCATTGCCATTGCTCTTACCATTACCATTGTTATTGCCACTAACCATTACTATTGCCGTTAACCATTACGATTACCATTACCATTACCGTTGCAAATATTATTACTTTCAGTATTACCGTTACCATTGTTATTACCGTTCTCATTACCACTGCTATTACCATTACCAGAAATTAATGCAAATTAACGCAGCTCTGAAACTCACCAGCCGCTTGAATAAAAACCATCCGATCACTTACCACTGACTAACTTAAAGGAATTTAAACAAGAAAAACACGCCATCTTGTTTTTTTTTTGTGTTCCGCTGTTGAGAGCTTCACGGTTTTTCAAACTTTATTTAAATTCATAATTTTTCACATATTTCTGAACATTCTGATGTTTCTAATTTCAAAAAACTACAACTATTTTCTACAATTTATGAATAAATATTTAAGTAATTATGTACGAGTGTAATAATTTACTTAAATATGCGATTAATTATTATTTTTAATTATAAGCATGAATTTCGTATGATTTTATACGATATTGAAACTAAAATTAAAACTAAAATTAAAATGCGGACGATGCACTGGACGAGTTGTTGTTTGCCATGCCACACCGTTGCCGCTGCCAGATGACTACAGATAGAAGACAAGTGACCCTTTAAGGGTGAGAGAACCGTTACTAACCTAATTGGTGTAATTTATTATTAATTTCGATTACAATTAGACTGTCACTAAAGCTATTTACAAGACTACGCGTGTGATTATAAATTTTTTAATTTTAATTTGAAGCGAATCGCAACAAATATAATACACTTTAATTTAAATATCGTTCTGCAGCTTTTTATAAGATTTTATATTTAATTCCTTTTTTGCCTAAGCATTTGCAGCAGACAACAGAGTCAGCGCCAAAAACTATTGTTTGTTTTTTTTGGCAATTGGCCTTTGCCATCTGCACGCCAAGGATTTACAAAGAATGCACCTCCTTTTTTACGCTTAATTTCTTTTTGTTTTTCTTAGTGTATTAAGTATCTAGTTGGCTATTCGCCTTTTTGTTCACCGCAAGCAGCTAAGGATACTGAACGAATGAACAGCTCGCTAGCATACTCGTAGCCTTTCTGATTGGCCAGCTTAGTCGCCGACGATTTTGACGTCACTTCCGCATCCTTTGTGTTGCTTGCAGCCAATGAGCGAAGTGCCAATTGTCGTTTCGTTGTTAAGAGCCTACGCTCTCACACCCTTCGGTACGCTCTCTGGCGCACTCACACTCTCGTAAACACGGGCTAATCTCAGCGAGTGGCTATCACACACAGCCAACACTACTCTCCTGCCGTCGCCAATTCACACAGCACGCGCAAGGAATACACATTTCAAAAGGCAATAGCGCCACAGCTATGCCCGACACCCAGGCGTATGAGTGACATGGCTTACTTACATATATAGTTACTAAATATTACGCTACTTACTTACACTCTTTCTCTTCTTCTCTCATCTACTCTTCTACGCCACTCATCAACACAAGTCACGTGAGTGCAAGGCATAGCCAAGGAACTTTTTAAGTATTTCGTATCTTTTGCCGAGTGAAATGCATTTCCGGTGGTGTGCGATTCGGGAGGATGAGAGTGTGTGTTGGGTGCGGCACCAAGCGACACTGTCGCACGCCATTGGTAGGTCACTGGCCAGTGACGTTGACGAATGTTTGCTTTTGGCAGCAGCATGGTAATTGCCAATTGGTGAGATTTTATTGTTGGATGTAGGTTGAGTTGTGGTGTTTTGAGTGAGGCTTTCATCTACAGGTTGCCCAGTTTTGTTGTTGTTTAACTGAGGAGGCGTTGCTGCGACTGCAATGAGATAATAAAAGAAAATGAAAGTTATATAAGTTTATACGATTATATGTATAAGTTTTGTATAGCTTAAATATGCATTTTTGTATCTGTAAATATAATACTACTAGCCTTTTCCCGCGGCACCACCCTCGTGGTAACCTAATGCTATCAAATTGTGCAGAAAAAACTATAAATGATTTCACAGAAAATAATTTTTCGCTTCGAATAAAAACGAATTTTCATTTGACAAATTTCATTTAAAGATAGTCGGAGTGAAATATCTGCAACTGAGCCACGCAGGCGAGATGACAAATGTTACTCATACGCCATGTGCGAGTACGTTCGATATAGATCCGCCATTTTGAATTTTTGAAATCTGATTTCCGATTCGTAATCCGCGACCTTAAGAACTCTCGCTCGATTGGGTACGCTATTTAGAATTTTTCTAACCTGACTTCAGATTCGTAATTAACGACTTCAAAAATCTTCGAGGAAAATGGTTTAACTGTGTACTACAACTCAGTAGCACCCATGTTCGAGCCCCGATCCGAGCGATTCTTAAAACCCAGTTTTATTATAAATTTTATTAAATTTTATATAACTTTATTATATTTTCTTTTATTATATCATGTGTTTTTTATCATATTATATCTTAATTTATTTAATTTTATTTTTGTTTTTATTTTATTTTATTTTTTTTTTTTTATTTTTTTTTTTTTATTGTTTCTCCTTTACGGGTTCACATCAAGTATTTGTTGGTATACAACAAAATACTTAACACTATTGATTATAAAGTATAAGAGAAATATAGTCTACAGATTGGTTACAAACGGATATTGGCAATACTACACAGTTGCAAGTTTTTCTGTTTCTTAATGCTAATTTATATTCAGAAATTTACGAACTATCGACGTTGTATCACAGATATCACAGATTTTTGTATGGCCCTTCGCTTTTCTACCATGTTGAGTTTTTCCAGGCTGGTGTTCAATGATTTCGGAATAACTCCTGTTGTCGAAATTATAACTGGAATCACCTCTACTTCTTCTAATTTCCACAAATCCTTGATCTCGTATGCTAAGCTGTGGTATTTTTTGTATTTCTCCATATAACAATTTTGAAGGTTGTGATTATTTAGTACGCCTATATCTATGAGGAACGCTTGATTCACTTCTTTTTCGACCACTCTTATATCCGGTCTGTTGTGTATCTGCATTGGATGGTCCATCAAAAGTGATCGGTCCCAATATAGCTTGCTCATTCTGTCTTCAATTACAGCGTCTGGAGTGTGTAATTGCTTAATGTCTACCATCCCTCGACCTCCCTGTCGACGTGGCAAGTAGAGACGTTCTACTGCCGATTTTGGGTGATGCATGCCATACTTTGTCAACAATGTCCTTGTTGCTCTCTTGACGTTATTTTATTCTATTTTATTTATTTTAATTATTTATTTATTTTTTTTTTGTATTAATTTCAGGTTATTCTAAGACCTTAATTTTAATTAAAAAGTTACAAAGTGACGCCGTCTGACTCATTCAAGCTTTTTCAATTTGAAAAGAGAAATTGTTTTCGTTTTATGTTTCGACGTCCATTTGTGCGGACCGCTCTATAAATTATGTATGCGACTATACATACGTACATGTATATAAAAGTTTTATTTTTTGACTATTTGTACTATTTTAACGATTACATGCATAGTTAAAGTAACTAAAAATGGTAAATATATTGCAGACAAACGAAATTGCGAAGTCGAAGGTTTTCCTAATTTTAATAACTTATTCTTTATTTGAAACTACTAAAAACAAGATTAAAAATGATCATAATTGAGAAAAATTACAAGTGGATTTTCGTTTAGAATTTTCACCATGGAAATGAGAAAATTTTGGAAAATGCATAGCACCATCGGATATTCCGTACAAAAATCTATAGAAATCATAGTTTTCGAATTATTTTTTGAAATTTGCTGTCTGCTTTGCATCTAGTCGAAAAATCACTTATTTTGCACCGCTCAGCGCGCTTGCGACATTTGACTTGAATTGCGCTATGTGTGTATATGAGCGGAAAAATTTTTACAATCAATCTGAAATTTACAACAGTTTTTATTATTTTCTCCACTCCGACAACATTCTTTTCCAAAATTTCAAAACAAAATAGTCTCTTTCGGTCATTACATCAGAAAGAATATTCAATTCCGAGTAAAACTAGGTACAATTTATAAAAATTAAAATAGGCAATTTCGGAAATTATGAATTTTTCTAGGTTTTTTCCAAAATCACTTCAATGTAGTTCCACAGAAAAATTTAATCGGTTAGATTGGATTCGTTTTAAAGTTTCACAAGCACGTACAGGAAAATTTGAAAATGTTTCTTTAAAAAATTTACCTAATTTTACTCGGAATTAAACATTCTATTAGAAGTAATGACTAAAAGAGACTATTTTTTCTTAAATATTTGGCAAAAATTTTGTAAAAGTGGGAAAAATAATAAAAATTGCAGTAAATTTCAGATTTATTCCAAAAATTTTCCACATATTTACAATGCGCTTAAACAACTTATTATTTCTTTAAAACGGACAAATATTCTTCTTTTTAAGTCCCTATAAAATCTTAAAATCGGTTAAAAAATAACCGAGCTAAAAATTGTTTAGCTCAGCTGTTCGACCTGTGCTACGACACCTAACAAGTTCATGCAAATTTTTTTTTATTTTGTACCGTGTTATGTTCACACGCAAGTTCATTACGCACTCTACTATCTACACGTAAACAATAATCCATCAGCAAAGTTTGTAATGTATTAATGTAGTACACACTATTTACTCAAATAAAGGATTCAATAAATAAATGGTTCACGCATTTGACACAATTCAACGCTTGCCAAAACCGTCGCACAAAATCATGTAAACGATTCTAGAGGGGTTCATCGGTTTGAAACAATTCACCAGAAAGGGGAACAAAATGTGGCACAACATTTTTCATTGCTTGTTGTTGTGTGCTGACTTTGGAGCTATGTATGCGTTCGAATAAATTCCTTGGCAATGTTTCCCTTGGGGTGCTTCCCCAAAAAAGTGACGCTTGCCAATTTTTTCATGAAGCGAGTGAGTGTTGGATTGGTGCGGGCGCAGCAGTTGGCCAACGCTCGAATAGAATTAATTTTGGCATTGAATTTGTGAAGTGCGTAAACAATTGGAAATTGGCAAGTGAAATATAAATAAAAAATGCCGGAGTGAATGAATGAACGTACGAGTGTAGACATGAGTGCATGCGTGAGATATAGAGATGCGTGTGCACGTGCTTGAAAAGCGTGATTTCAGTTTATTTTTTTATTTTTTTTTTATTGATGTACTTTTCTGTAGTTAGTATATTTGCTAATACATACATACTTAAAAACTAAATACCTTATGATTTAGGAAAAAACTAAAGCAATTAACACCTTACCTTACACTCACCTCAAATTACTTTACTTCAACACAGTTCATCTCACCCCAGCTCATCTCAATTCACCTTTACTCTTCTCATCTTACCTTAACTCACCCTAACTCAACTCACTTTAACCCACCTCACATCAGCTCACCTAACCTAACCTTATCTTAGGCTGCGTTTCACCAGATTCATTTAAGTGAAAATTGCTTTAATTTTTAAATTTTTAGTTTCACCAATCAATATTAATTTGTTTTTAATTTTGATTTAAGTCACCCACGCTGTTCACTGAAATAAAAATTAAATCAGAATAACCACACTCAGATCTCTTGCAAGTTTAATCAGCTGATCAATCTACACACACCACAATATTCTGTATCAGCTGTTTACTTTTATATATACCATCTCTGGTTTTACCACCACATTTAGCACGGTGCTGCCATATTTTCACTCACTTAAATAAGGAGCTTATTGACACTAAAGAAAATTAAATTGAGAATTAAATAAAAATTTAAATTAAAGTTAATTTCGACTTAAATGAGTTTGGCGAATCGCACAGCCTTAGCTCAGCCAACCAAATCACAGATAAATTTCATTCCTGAAACTCCCGAAATAGTCCAGAAAATTCCAATACAATCGCGAAAATCGATAAGTGGTCCCAAGGACCCCAAATTGTTTTGGAAATTCCAAGGTAGTCCCAAAACTCCCGATATAGTCCCGAAAATTCCGAAATAGCCCCGAGAGTCCTGAAAATCCTGCATTAATTTCTCAAATCCCAAAATAGTCCTGAAAATCTGGCAACTTTGGTAGAACTACAAACTATCATCATACTCGGTATTTAGTAACATCCAATATGCATACTTAAGTAAATACTACTTTGGTATTTACTAGAAGATAACAACCGCAATACTTTAATACGTAGTTTAAATAAATACAATTTTGTCCATCACTGCCCAGCAGCCTAGGAGGCAAATAAATATATGTATGTAAAATCAGTGTTTCGATTCTTTGTTTCTGATGCAGTTGTTTAGATTTTCCGCTCCTTTTTTTTATAGATTTAACTGTGTTATCCAAATTTATTTATTTTTCTTTTAAAAACGAAAAATTGATGTCACATTGTGGACATAGGCTAAAGATCGCGATCAACGCGATGAGCCAACGTTCCATTCTAAGAGCACCCGGAAGCTTATTGTGAGTCGTTTTCTATAATTGCCGCAGTAAGGTTTAATTCGGAATTGTATAAAAATAGGTCGTATTCTCTGCGCCTCGACATTGTCACGGGAAGGGGCTTACTTACCACTTACAATCTAGCCTAATGTGAACGAATTAATTTCACGCAGGGTATGGAAGAATAGAGCAAGCCTTAATCGTACTACTCATTACCGAAGACATTTCGCACACATAAAGCGATGCCAAAGAACATCGCCTATCCATAACCTAATAAACAATTATTCACATCCGTTTGCAATAAATTTAACCGCAACATGCAACCTAAACGCCTCGTAGCGTACAAGTGCATTTAACCGTTCTGCATTTTACTGCTCAACTCAAGTCCTTGCCGAAAGCTTTTGTAGTAAATTTACAAGCAGTTAGTAGATGACTTATGGCACACCGTGTAGCTCGATTACATAATCGAAGCAAAAGAAGAAAGCAGCTTAATTTCATAACACAAACACAGGGGGAGCCAACCACACGACCTACGACAATATACACCCACAAAACATAACCTAAATTTGCTTCTTGCAAACGCCAATCTATCTATGAAAAAATTCCGTATGCGTAAAATTCGTAATAAATGCAAATGAAATGAATTGTTGAGAATAGCGTAGTGGAAAGGGGTGCAAAGGGGGCGGATAGCGACTGATTATGGGGTTTCGGCTACAAGCCAAAGTCGGCTAAGTTCTTGGCAAGCGGCAATAGTGCTGGCGCTTCTCTAGCAACCACTGGCAGACAGGCTGGGGCGTGTGCCTAAATGGGAAGATGTCCAGAAAAATTATTGGCAAAACTCCATGGATTTAAATTTATGATGCAAACGCATCACCTGTGTGTTTGTATGAATGAGTGCGTTTATGCGGAGGCCAGGTAACGGGGAATACCATTCAAACGCACGACAATTTGTGCAAAATGAAAATGGGCATCTTATAGTTTTTCAGAAAATTTTTGACATTAACTAAGCGGAACAGTAGATCAAAATTAATTAGACGTAAATTAGTAAGTTGACATAATTTTGCAGTTTTTACTTTAATTTAAAATATTTTAATTCACAAATATTTTGCTTGCAAAAGTGCTTTACTTTTGTTGTAAATTTTGTTGCGAGGTGTAAACTGAAGGCGGCTTCATCGTTCTAGTTCGGAACATTTTCTTCCGTGTGATTGTTGTTATATATTTCTATCTCTGTGAGAGAAACGCAACAACAACCACATGGAAGAAAAGTAAAGTGAACTAAAACGATGAATCCGCCTTGACTCAATAAAATTTCTTTTCCACTTCTTGAACGTCATTTTGTGTGAAATTTTTCGTTATAACTTTTCAGATTTTTAGGTTTTTCTTTTGCAGAAATATGTATTGCTACCTTAATTTAGAAAGGCCATATCTCCCATCGTCGGTGAAATGCAAAAATGTCGTAACTAACTAAAGTTTTTTATTGCATAGAACAAAGTGGAGACTTATAAGTGGATTTTGGATTTTTAATTAGTTACGATTTTTATATTTCAGCGATGATATGAGATAGGCCCTTTCTATATTGAGGTAACGGTATGTATCTTTCAACGCCGCTTTTTCGCAGAATATTTCCTTGCTGTTATGCAATTAAAATTTGTTCTTATAAATATCTAAAGATGCTAATTCACTTAAATTTTGTACGCAAACAAATGCTTGCGTTTTTTCACTCACATATACCTACATACATACATACAAATGCACTATTTTTATACACACGTACCCTGCAGTGAAAAGCCAAAGCAAATAGAAAAAATACTAGTTCATTAACTAGTATATGCTTACCAGTTCGACAATTTCGAAGAACTTAAGCGTGCAGCGATATCTGCCTTTAAATTGCCAAAACCAAAAATAAAACGCAAATAATTGCTTTTCTTACAAATGTTGGCTGTCGCGTCACATGAAGACTACTAGTTCTGGTTCTGAGATCGCAGGTTCGAGGCCGCTTGGAGGTGGTTACGATCTTTAAAGTTAAATCAATGTAAGTTAATATAATTATTTCAATTTAAATGTAAATAACAAATTTGAAAATCTAATTACATAGCAGAAAAAAACATAAATATGGGAAGAAATGTTTGTGCCATAAAATAAAGTAACTAAAAATATATCTTTTTTAATTTAAAAATTACAATAAAAACCCTAAATAAAAAAAAAATTATTAAAAAAATAAATAAATAAAATTTAATTTCATAATTATCCCTCCGCCAGAACTTGAACCTGGAACCTTAGGCATACCACGCGAGTACTTTGCTCTGTCGGTGGATGGATTGCCAGGCTATCTCATCAACTGGTACTAGTATTTCTATATGTATATTTCTATATATGTATAGCCTGACAATTGATATCTCGTAGGAAATCGCAATGTTAAAAATACCAGTCGCAAACATTGAAAAAGGAAAAAACGTTAACTAGTTGGGCAAAACCGGCAGAATTCTAGTTCACAACTAGTAGCTTTTCCTGCAGGGTATATACAATGTATTAACGTAAATACATATCTACATACATACATATGCGCACTATTTTCCGCAAGTCGTCACGGCTGTTTTGGTATTTTAACCTTAATTAAAAGCAAAGCATATTTAGATCAGTGTTGCCATTTTGGTTGAATTATATTAAATTTGGTAGTATATTTTTCTAAGTTTTAATTTTGGCAAATGCGACCAGTATAAGTCAAATTTTATTTTATTTATTCAAGACTAACAAATTTTAAATGAATACTTATGCAAACAGATTTATGTTGTCATACAAATAACACAGTGCAACAAATTTCAAGAAGTGGGCGGTGATTGGAATCGGACCAACCGCATTCGTTTAAGGTGGTCAAATGATGAAAAAGTACCAACAGACTGGTAATTTTTTTATAAATTTAAAATTGTAGATCCAAAAAAAGTGCTGCAAAATTAAAAATATTTTTTAGTAATTTCTAGATAAATTTGTGCCGTTGTATACCCCATTAAATTTTAGTAAAATAAAGTGCAAACTTCAAGTGGAAAAGAATTCACGTTGACATTTAATTTATTTCGTTGATGTGCTAAGCATTATCTTCCACATACATATGTGCATTAGGGCTAATCACTCTCCTTACAAAAAATAAATAATAATCGATACTATTTTTTCCATCGGATATATACAATTTAATATATTTTAAGACTTCCGCCAAAATATTTCGAAATTATATTTACCTCCCTGTTCTTACAAAGTCACAAAATTCAGCGCCTCACTATTGTGATTCCTACTGCGGTCGAAAATATGCCACAAAAATTAGATTTTAAGTGCTATGGAAATGTACACAAATTAAAATTTTTTTTTAGCGGCATATTTGTCGTAACAGCATACTTTGAAGCGCAGTAGAAATCACAAAAGATGTTTTTAAAAATATTTTTTTCTAAAAAATAATCGCGGTGATAGAAGAGCTAGAAAAGTGGAGTGGAATAGCAGTTCTGATTCTTTTTGGTGTTGAAAATAATTTCCACATTATTGTACTAAAATTAATACGCCATAAAATGGCATCCTTTATTTGTAATTTTTTTTAACTCATAAAAAAAATATTACTTTTGGAGATTTTTTTTACAATTTCAAAGCGATATAAAAATAAGTAAAGAGGTATAAGTTAGGGCAAAACTGAAATTTGAACTTTCATTTGGACTATTGGGACCACCAGTGAGTAGAATTCAGATAAAGAGAGCGTTTAAAAAATTCGCATTAAGAAAAATTTGTAGCATTCAATCATAATGCCTCCCTCCGAAAACTTCGCTGACTTCTGGGATAAAAACAGATTCAAATGATTTTAATTGGATTATAAAGCTTCCTCTTTCTTGGACTAGAGCTTTTCGGGCGAATCGATTCCAATTTTCATTGCGATTTAGGGAACCCTTCATGAATGGCTCATTCTGACAGATAAGAAACAAAATGTGGTGATTTTTCTTTGAAAATCGGCTTTGTTCGAAACGGTTGGAGTGGTCTTTAGCTTTTGATAGAATTTTGGTAGATTTGTTTATGCGGTAACACTGATTCACTGATTTAGATGCATACATATGTATATAAATATATATGTAAAATCGACGTTCAGTACGTTCAATTAGACACAAGCGCGATAATAGCTAAGACAAAACAACATTAAACAAATACACAAGTCAAGGAAGATATTTAGGTAGTTCAAAGTGACCGAATAGCGTGTGTTTTGCTTACCCTTCCGCAAAACCAAACTAGTTCAGAACTACTAGCAGAGCACTATTCCATTAGGCTAAGATACTGGTTATCACTTATCAACCACATCAATTTAACAATACCCGCGTAACATTAAAATTACCCATTTTCAAAAGTCTCGCCCTATCAAAAATTACATAGATGTGCAATTGTGGATTTGGCAGTGAACGCTTAAGTTCTAGTCGTTGGGCATGCTTTCATCAACGATCGATCATAGGCGGTCACTAGGTCGTCCTTGTTGTTCTTACTAGCCTAGGTTAGGTTAAGTTATTCTCTATAGGTGCTTAGTGATGGCAGAAGGAATAATAACTTTTTGATAAACTTAATTAATTTCTTATTAAAAGTAGAAATTAGCATTTATTCTGTAAATTTTTTTACAAATTGCCCTGTGAGAAAAATTTTTATTCAAGTTTTTCTTTTGAGATGACATTTTCAAATATCCTAATTTTGGCCTGATTAATCAATATACCTGATGCCAATTAAATGTATTATGTGCCACCAACCCAGAACGCAAGCCTTTACCATTTTTCGAATAGAAGAATTTATCCCGCATATCGTAGCCACCCGAGCCCCAATACTCACCCTTTAGCTACTTTGATAGCAGACTCTTCTCTCGTCTTCTTGAAATGCCCTCAAAATCAAGGAAAAGATGCAGTGGCTTAAATTTGGCTCGGTTGCAAAAGTAACAGAGATTATTTTACTAGATTTCGAACTTATGCAGTTGATTTTTGAATCCAAAGCTTCAATAAAAGCCTCAATCTCTACTTCGTCAGTTCGTTCTCTCATCCATGTTATCTCCTTCCTGAGGTCTTTTCTGGTCGTGTTTCTTAGAGTCTTAGCCTTAAACCGTTGCTACTCTGGATAAGCCGTCTGCTATCTCTTTCCCCTCTATTATCATGAGACCTGGTACTCAAAGTAGTCGGATGTCATTGTGTTCAGCAAAGAAGTTTAGTTTCTTAATGCCATCGGAGGCTAAGGAAGCTTTAAGCTCAAAGAATACGAGAGCACTGAGTGCCGCCTGATGGTCGCTAAGGAGTAGAATGCCCTGCTCTCATTACGGTTTTTAATTAGGTAAGATATAATCTTCAGAGTTACTAATGGTGTGTAGCTCCGCTTAATAAAAGCTTAATGATTATTCTCAAAAACAATGTAATATATGCATATAATACTAATATCTTACGCCCATCCTAGTGGGTTGCTTCTCAGAATATTTAAATTTATTTTTAGATGTTTCCTATTTTTTTTTTTTTTCATTTAATTGCTTGTAACAATGAAGGTTTAACTATCTCATGTGTTTCAATTAAAATTTTAAAAATACCAATGCTTGTGAAATAAATGGAAAATAGCGAAACTGACTTTAAATGATTTGCTTTTCGTGCAGATTTTGATGGGCATGAGCGCATGGTTGGTGGCAAATGTGAAAAGAAAGATTTTTAGAAATGTAAAATAAACAAAAATAGAAAAATAATTAGCTAAAAATATTTGTGATTGTTTTCAGCAAATTGACCAATGCGAAGGTGACAAATCAGCAGTGACGGCGAATAGGTAAATACTAAATGAGGCAAATGAGGAGGAAGATATGTGTGCATATGTACATATGTATGTAATTGTACATGGGGAAAAAAGCTCATACATAAATGAGGTAGATTCGTGTGCATACATGCATATATGTATGTGTGTTTATCGTACTATGTAATACGAGTATTATAGCCGTAGACCACATTCAGACAATTTTATCTAACTTTCTGTTATATAGAAAAATTATCGTGAAAAATGGATTTTTGCTTTTTTCGGATGGCCAGTTTCGAAAATGGTATCAAAGGGTTAAAAATCAGGTTTAAACAAAATAGTAAGTATGTTTCTTGCTCTTTTACGCTAAAACGTCTAAACCAAAGACGTTTTAAAGAAATATATATTTTAAGAGGGTTGCCACCTGTTTATAAATTCATAATCATTTTAACTTACAAGCTGAATATTTTAGTATGGGTATTAAACGAGAGAGGTTTAAAAAGTTTTACTTCGAAAATATTTTTAAGAGGGTTGCCATCTATATAGAAATTCAGAATTATTGCAATTATAAAATTATTTTAAATATTTTAATATAGATATAAATCAAACGATAGAAGATTAAAAAGCTTCGTTTCCCAAATCGTTCTGAAAGGGTTTCCATATGTTTGTAAATTCAAAATCAGTTTAATTAGCAAGTTAAGCGAAATATTTATTCTAATATGGGTGTCAAACCTGAGAGGTTTAAAAAAGTCTTATTACGAAAATATTCCTTACGAACTTTTTTAGACAAGCTTAAAAACTTTTACAAATCGAATTCCAGACCCCTACCATTTTTTTTCTAATTTAGATATTGCCCGACCAAGGATCGAATCCAGGCCCCACGGAGTGGTAGACGCACACATATACATGTATGTATGTATTCCTAAAAGTTTCGAAAGACTTATAAAACTTTCATAATATAAATAAATTAAATTTTACGAATTCTGTCAATGTTATTGTGGCTTATTTTACTTTTTTTTATTTTATTTTATTTTATTTTTAATATTTTTTTTATTTCTATTGAGCTTTTTAAATGTAATTCTAAAAGATTCGACAAGAAACCAAAACAATTTATGGAATTTTAAAAATTTTCGAAAAATCCGCAAATTTTTTAATCTGAAAAAAAAACCGAAAATTTTCAATTGGCATTATAAAATTCCTAGAAGTAACGAATAATTCCGAAAAGTGTCAATAGACTTCAAAAAGTTCCCAAAATTTCAGGTGATATCTCATAAAAATCCTGAAAAGCCACTTAGTTACCGATTACGCTCAAAATACTCCGAAAAAGTACAGAGAAGGACCTCTAAACTTCCTCCTATATGATGCCGAAAATCTGTAGTACATTTCTATAGTTTTATATAATTTGCTGATTTCATTTCAAAATTTGAAAAAAAACAAAGAAATACAGTAATATGTATAATCTGTGTACTTAAGCCGCTCGATGTCGTAATTCTTTTTCAGCTACCTGTTTTGGTCACCCTCAAGGCCTTTCTTTCACATCTCACTCTTCACTTTTCAGCTGCGAGCGTCATCGACTCAGACAATGACAGAGAATGTAAGAAACGATACATTTTGAAAATCGCTTTACTTAAACTAGTGTACTTTATGTATATATCTACTATATTGATGTACATATGTGTGCGAAAATAAATACTTTTAAATATATGTATTTTTATATGCACATATGCGACTACATAATCTCCTTTGCTTTAAATCCTTAGGTGCGAACGTCGAGTAGCACATCTCGTCTATAGATACTTTTCAACAGCTCAACCCAACGTCTGTCGATAAGTTTGTCCGACCGTTTGCTCTTCCCATTCAACCGCGCCACCATTCGTCCCAACCATCGCGTTCTAGCTCTTTCGGCATTTCACTATTTCAGCATTTGAAAGTGACATTTCTGCGCATTTTCGCTTTGACGTTTTTTTCGAAATCTGCGCGGATCACCCAGAGAAAATGGGCAGACGTACAAAAATAGCCATGAAAATAAAACAAATATATTTAGTACTACTGTGTGTAGCAGGCAGATACAATAAATAAAATCAGCTTTGCTAGAGGTGATCAATGCAAGCACACGAGCCACACACACACACACACACACACATACCATTGCAAAAGAAAATGCTTACTTTGTTCCGTATGGGTGTGTGTGTGTGCGACACTGAACGCCGCGACCGAGCAAAACAAGAAAAAAGCTACACAAAAATAAAAATCACCAAGAAAAGCACAAAATATAATGAGCGAAAAAAGCAAACTGACAGAACCCATTAAAGACCTCAAACATGCGCCGCAGCGCCGTCGCCACCCTCTCCACTCTACCCTCCCCTACCTCTCCACCTCCTTGTTGGCGTTTTCCTTCTATACATTAGCGCGCATTTTTCTCGTAGTTTCCACGCTTTAATTTGGTTGATCTTGCATTTGTTTGTGTTGATTGCACGCTGCGACAGTCTAATGAAAACAAAAACGAGTGCAGCAGCAAAATTAAATTAGAAAATCAAAAAAAAAACCGAATACGAATGGCTAGAAAAACTAACTATACTAGCATCTATTGAAACAACCAGACAGATATCATCGCATTAATGCAAGTTTGGCAAAGGTAGCAGACATTCGCTCGCCCGGCGTTCAATGGATGGTGGGTTGGTTGGTTGGCGCAGCGATGTGTTGCGCTTTCGCTAGAGATCGCTGCTTTTTGTTATTGTTGCTATTGTTGTTGCAGTGCACGCGCATTTACTCATAAAATTTAGTCTATAACTAAATAATTCAATTTTCTCCGCCCACTTAAGGCAATTTGGAGTAAAAATAGGTTGTACAAAAATGAGTAGCTAAAATTTGTGGTAATATGTTTTTTTTATACCGTCGTACGTCGTAAATTTTAAAAGTTTAAATACATGTTTAGAGGACTTTAAACAACAAAAAATATCTGTGAAAAGTCATAATACGAATTTTATGGTAACTTCTGAATCCCCTTTATAAATATATTTTTAGCCGTTAAAAGCTTACAACATTCAACTATACGACAGTATACAACACCTTGTGAACTCCCTTATGTTTTTAACAAAATTTCTATCTATCATTACATAGACTGAGGAAAATATAAAGGAAAATTTTCCCAATGAAATGATAAAGTTTGATCAACTGCGGAACTCAATTCAACTACCCGAACTGTGCTCAAAATACGATTAATAAAAATCGTTAGAAAAAATTATTAAAAATTTGCTAAAAATTGCATTATAAATTTTATCAATTTGAACCTATCTGGGAATTTTATCAATGCTAAAAACACACATCGAATCAGGAAGCACGACAGAATCGATAACGTTCAGAAGGAGTAGCCCTTACGCGGGTGAACCGTATGTGCTTCAAAACAGGTGGCAACCCTCTCCGAATCCCTCAGGAAATTATATATGTTTAAGCTAAACATTTCTAAACACTCTTACGTGTGACACTTTACCTTGAGTATAATTAATTTAAATTCGACTTTTAAAACAGGTGGCAACCCTATTCAAAATATTTTCCAACTAAAACTTTATTAAACCCCTTTCGTCTGACCCCCGTATTGTGATACATATTACAGTTACTTCAATCCTTTAATTCAAGAAGCATTTGATTTTTCGAACAAGTGGCAACCCTCCTAAATGTTGTCTCGAACTAAAATCCTTTTCAAAACCCCCTATTGTAGTAATTCATTTAAATTAATTGAATTAAATTTTAAAACTGGTGGCAACCCTTGTAAAACACATCAATAATATTTTAAATGTTCAATCTGAAGCTTCTTAACATTTCTCGTTTTTCACCATTATTTTAATTTTTTAGATAGCGTGCGAATAATTGATTGACTTTCCAAAGGAATGGCAACAATTTTACAAATATTTTCAAGCTACAACTTTTTTAAGCCTCTTGACATCTATCTGTTGATATAATTTTCAAAAAAAAATTATTCTTTAATTCATGTTCAGTTTGATTTTTTAAACAGGCCCTTTCACTTTCAAAAAGGTGAAAAAAAGAGCATCTAAAAATTTGAGCTCTTAATATTATCATTAAGTGGTTCCTGTTCCTAACTTTCCATTTCACATATAAATAACATGGGAAAAAAATGTTTCGTTTTTCTTATTTTTGTTGCTTGACATATAAGCATTGTAAAAATGAACTGAAAAATTATTTTGGTAGGAAATTGAACGCTCTACAAAAAAGTTCTAATTAATTTTTTTTACAGAGTGAGCCGTTCTGAAGATATTCAAATTTAAGGTGCAAATGTATGAAATTATGATTTTTATTTTATCAAATTAATACTGATGACTTTTTTTAAGTCTTATTGATCTATTGTTTATGTATTCTAGTTGTTGAAAAGTTTTTTTTTGTAATCTATAAAATAATAATTTTACTGAACCTAGTTCATAATTACTTTTGCTTAAGAGTTAATCAAATTATAAAATAAATAAAGAGCACAAAAACCAGTTTTCTGATTAAAAATAGTTTTTAAGACATAAAAAAGTCATCAGTATCAGTTTGATAAAATAAAAATCATAATTTCATACATTTGCAACTTTAAGTTTGAATATCTTCAGAACGCCTCACTCTGTAAAAAAAATTAATTAGAACTTTTTTGTAGAGCGTTCAATTTCCTACCAAAATAATTTTTCAGTTCATTTTTACAATGCTTATATGTCAAGCTACAAAAATAAGAAAAACGAAACATTTTTTTCCCATGTTATTTATATGTGAAATGGAAAGTTAGGAACAGGAACCACTTAATGATAATATTAAGAGCTCAAATTTTTAGAGGCTCTTTTTTTCACCTTTTTGAAAGTTTTTAGCCTGTTTTTTAGTTGAAAAAAAAAGTTGCTCAAAAATGACACAGCCTAATATGTATATACATATATCTCTATACCAAGTTCCAGTACTCTATCACAAATATTTCCTGAGATATTCAGTACGAAAAATTCCATTTGTATGGGAGGTGCCACGCCTATATTTTAAGTTGGGCTAAATGAAACCAGTGTCGAAATTTTATGATGATCGATTGAATAGTTAAAGCGTGAAAGCGCAACAAATATGTAAACAAACTCGCTTTTGGATTTATAATATTAATAAGGATAAGGATATACATTGGTTGTTGTTTATTTATTTCCGAGAAATAAAATTCAATGCAAAAAATCAAAAAATCCCATATTCGGCTCGGATCAATTTGAAAATCAAGAGCTTTTTCGGTTTGGATATTGAGTTTTAGGACAAAATCGAAAAATGCAGTGAGCGGCAGCAAAAAAAAACAACACGGGAAATAACGGACACCCTAATGTATATACATATGTATGGAGGTTTGTTGTTCGTGTACAAAGCACGCATTTGTATCCAAATAAAATATACGTACGTTTCCTAAAACCATATGCCTCTTCAAAAAATCAAAAATTTACAAAAACAAACAGATGACTTATAATTGAGTAATTAGGCTAATGCTTCTTTTTTTAGAAAATTCATTAACCGCCAATAGAACAGATTACATAATTTTAAATTTGATTGAAGAATACTTAATTCAGCGCGTTCTATCACAAGGGCGAACTATGATACAAATAGGCACAAAAAGAAAAAAAATTGTTTCTGCATAGTAGTTTTTATCAGCCAATAAATCTCTACCGTCGTTGATGAATATACGAAGAGAATTTCTCTATTTGTTTCTATCAGTTTTACCAAAATAAGAAACTATTTAAATTTCATCAAAACCCCTTACGTAGCCAATATGTAGGCTACCATGTACTCGTAATCTAAATTTAAATTTTAGCATTTGAATACTTCCTTGGCCCTAAAAAATATAGAATGCTCTTGCTTCAGAGCTGACGTTGGTCCATAAGAACTAAATGCATACAGTGAGTGTCAGTCAAAATCGTACAGTAAAATTTTCCATATTTTGAAAGTACTTTATTTTAATTAAATTTTATTAATTTTGAATAAAAACATAGTTCACACAACAACTAAATCCAAAAAACTTAAGGTTTTTAACATTGTAACAAATAAAAAAACGTCAAATTTTCATGCAAATTTCACATTTTTTATTCAAAATTTTTATAATTTTTTTTTTGGGTATGTAGTTTTATATCCCATTCAGTTTTAGTAAAGAGCAAGTTTAAAGTCGCTACAAAATATCGTTTCGTTGATTTTTGAGAATTTTTTTTTGTCGAGGGTGTTGCGCATTCTATTTTTTTTATTTTTACAAAGTTAGTAACTTTCAGTTCTACGGTTTTTGTTGTAGTGTGAACTTTATTTTTATTAAAAATTAATAAAAACCTAAATAAAACAAAATAATTTCAAAATATGAAAAAAATATATTACTGTACGATTTTGGTTAAATATTATTATAAATATTACGGCACCAGTTAGAAAAATCACACATTTTTGTAAATAAATCAGACTATTAATCATGGGTTTCCAAAAAAAAAAAATAGTTTTTTACCAAGCAGCAACATTATTATGACTTGTAGTACATTTTCCTGGTAGAGCAATTTATCAATCGGACGAAAAATAGAAAAACGGTTTTAATTCCGCC